CAAAATAGAGACAGTGAACAGAGATATGAGGCGAAAAGAATAGTAATATCAAAGAACAATATAGTTTTATTGGAAATCATAATCACAAGGAGTGGATGCATCTGCGCCACTGCAAACGATTTTGAGCCTTATCAACAATTGTCTCCAGCCATTGGTGTTTGCCGTCCCGAGGACCGCAACCAGGAAGTCCACATCTTTCTACTTGACTTAAACTAACTATTGTGGAATTCACTGACTGATGAAGTCATGTTTTCATTTGGCTCTTTTCCAACCTGACCTTATGTCAGCTAACATGTTCTGAATACGCCTGACAGCCAGCATTTGGATATTATATCCTAGGTTTGACCGTTCACCGATGTCCTTTGTAATCCTCATCTCTCAATCGCCTTTTATTCCGCTGAATTGACATTTTAGTTCCTGTTTGAAACTGCGGAATGACGATTGATATCCTTGTGTTGTAAATGAGGTCTAACTCCGTAGTCAATCAACAAGATGTTCTTGTTGGGGCAGTTTCTCCTTATGCCTTACTGACATATTGGTAAGACAAGGATAAATGGGATTTTGTCGGTTACTCAGTCGACGGAAACCAGTATGACGGTAATAAAATGCTTCATCAGTGCTACGAGCAAGTCACTAATTTTGCCTCCTCACACTGAGAAAGTAGTACATTCGAGTTAAACATACTCAAATCCCACGGCGATGGCAGCTATAGTTATGAAATTAACTAAATTCTGTTTTGAAAATCTGTAGCTTGCCAGATTGTCCAAGCTGTCTGAGTAGTTCGTTGTGACGTTTCTCTCTAACTGACAGAAGTATCATTATTAAAGACTATTGGAGTGAACTTTTCTAATGTTTAACGGTCGGATAGATACATTTACTCTCTATGCTCAAAATTCTGAGCACCATCTCTCGTAAAATTAGCAATGTTCAGTGCACCCGCACAGCTTGACAATTTGTCCAATAATATACTAATGTGGAGCATAAACATGTACACCAACTTATCCCTTAATTATTTTTAGAGTAACTGAAACCGTATCAACGACAGCAAACATATCCAAAACTCCACAAAATCAGAATAACACTTCAACAAACGCACAACCTCCTAAACTCAAGTAAGTTTTGTCTCAATGTACAGTTTGCTTTTGCATAATAAGTGTTTGCTAAATGTACGTAATAATTCAGTAACAGGATTTTTTATTCGAAGTTTGAGATCTTCGCACATTCATTCTTAAGAACAGTTAGGTGTGTTTCACTGCAGAAGCATTTTTGCTGTACGTCCAAGTGTGACAGAGTTACATGAAAATTCGAAAAGATTAAGATTGCTTATTGTGGCAATTACTTTACTAGGTACCACATTGTTGTGTCTTATGTACTGTTAGATATCCATTGCCAAAAGGTAACCCAGTCAGATTAATTCGCAGTCCCCTATCATTGTGGATGCTATTAACCCTTCTTTTACCCAAAACTAGTCACCCCCACTGTTGGTATATGCTACAATAGAAAACTTATTGCTAGACTGAACTGGAGAAAGACACTTGCACATGCACACATCATATTCCAGCTTAAGATGCAGAGACGTATAGACCAACTTCCTATGTTTAATCACGGCACTGTTACAGATTCATTTTTCCATAGATTTGTTGATGCTTATTCGTTTCAAAACCAATAGCTATTTACCATAGTCTGTTATATATTTTTTGGAATTAGCAGCTTACCCCTCAAACTCGTGAAGGTGATAGTAAATTTAACAGGCATATCTGACCTCATATGTAAAGTGATAATTTGCAGTCTTGCCAGGAGGGTTATAGTGTAGGAGTGTTTAACACTAATGAATACATAGTAGAAGAATGAATACGAGCCAGCACTGTCTTCTATAGTCAGCCTTTCCTATGTCTACAGTTTATACTCTCAATGAGGAGAGGGATTAGTAGGTGACAACATCTGGAGAATTTGTGGTTTTAATTACTTTGCTTCTAGTCAGTAGGTTCTGTGCTCGAATCGTACTCTCCTTCAATGTGGGCGACTGAGTGGTATCATCAGCCCTCATACTATTAGTGTGTTCCATAGGCTAACCCATGAAAAATCTGTAGCAGGTAACTGATTTTGAAAGTATAGCTAGCTTATCCCCTTTCAAGAATCAAAGTGACATGATCACCATTAAGACACGGAAACGTTTCAAAGGGACGACACTACCCAATGATTATGTCCGGGAATACATTGAAAGGGTTAAGGAACTAATAAGGTTAGTGCAGAAGCATAGCTTGGGAATCGGTATGCATGCTTAACACTCACACATAAGGTGCTAGGGCAAAGATTTTCACACCCAGCACATTTAGGTATGTATTAGAGAAAATCTATTGCACCCCTAAACACGCTTTACGAATTTAAAGATGATATATGTATGATTAACTTAGCGTGGATGTGTTCAGAAAGTCATTCTGTAGATAGCGCTATATCACTGTATGCTGTATCGAACAGTAGCGAGTCTCTATTTTACCTTAGTGTTCAGGTTATACTGCTGAAAGATAGTCATCCGAAAATCATAACCACTGCTTTAAAGTTCCGACTTTACCCAAGCCACACTGGTTATTGATCACATGCACTGGAACTAGGATAGAACACAATTATACATAATCTGCACTGAGTGACTAATCGTTGTTTCGTGAGTATTACTTGAGCTTTCACGTTACTAAGAATTTCTGTGTAACTTAACGTGTACCACTAGTTGTAGTTCCATTGATTCACTTCTTCCAAAAAACAAATCATGGAAGTCCCTTGAGTATTACATTCCTGGCTATAGACATTCCCCCAAAAATTACCCTTATTTCTCGTTGATTGTCGTGTTAAGTTTGCATTAGAATAAACAATCCGCTTTAGTATGTATACCTCATGGGATAGCGAACTAGACTCGAATGTTTACTTTCTATGTAGTCTGCGTTACTAACATTTATATTTCATATGAAATTCACACAACACACACCTAACCATAACACATTTTGCTTTCTTTTTTTTCTTTAAATAGGCCTTCAACACTGGGACCTGGTTTAGCCTCTGCTCTTCAAAACCTCAAATCTACAGTAAATAAATTACCCAGATTATCCACTTTAGTAAGTTAGTATAAAAATACTCATGAATTCCAACTTATTTGCTTGTTTTTATTGGTGTGAATGCATAACTACCAGCGCTGCAGGAAGTAGACTTCATGACTTTCTCTGTAAAAAGGAAATGGTGAGATTGTTACTCAGCAACTGCTTGTAATTCCAGATAGTTGACAATGAGCCACACCTTTTGCCGGGTGGTTAGGAAAAATGAGTAGTTCTTCAACAATCACAAATGAATATTACTGCATTGAATCTTTTACTTACTTTAGATTAGTGCATTCGATCTAAAACATCCTCATAACTCACAAGGGAGACGAGACCAGCTCCCTGATAATGGAGAATATGATCCTAAGTTCGTTTACAGGAAATGGACTTATTATGTAAGATGAAGATTTATTTGTAGCAATCTCTGTGACTCTTAAACGAAGAAAATATTTTACGAAATGATACGAAAAACCAAAGGAAATTTCTTAAATATAAATTTGTTTTATCGAATGCAGGAGAAATCGCGACTGGATTGGAAACAGTATGTACAAAAAGAATCCCTGGAAGATGATCTCAAAGCCCATAACAAAGGAAAGGATGGGTAAGCTTTTGTTTTATGATTCATTAAAACTCACGTATTATTAAGCCGTCAGGACAAATCGATTATGAAACCAAATTTTGGCATAGGAAATAAGTAAGGAGAGGAAAACTATGCTTCCGGTAATGTAATGAAAGAAAAGGGTACTAACAATGAGCGAATCGCGTTCTTGCTGTTTTCTAGTAATCACTGCATAAATGGTGGACATGTTGGATTTATTACGACGACCCTGTTCTGGACATCCCGTAAGTGGTTTTCCGTGTGGACACAGCTAACAGTGTGCATTATATTGTGAAGTTATTCAGATGAACTAGAAATTGGATATCTTTATCGCAACGTATTGCAATCATTTGTAAACAATCCTTTCTTGATATTTTGGCATTACCTGTGAATTATTTTACTTTAGGTTTTACTTTGATATGTAAAATAATTATTGCATATTTAAAGTTACTAGAGCCCTATACAAGTTTCCACGATGAGACTGTTCATAGGCTGCTATTCGAAGGAATCGTTTATCGTCTTCCTTACTGGGAGAACTTACTATTTTGAAGCGTGTAAAATTGAATGCGATGATACCTCAGTGCATTTGATGTTATAAATATATTAATCACGTTTATTTGCATGAACAATAAGCATATCAGTGATACGTTAGTGCATCGGTGGTTCAGTGGTAGAATGCTCGCCAACCACGTACGTGGTGCAGGGTTCGATTCCTGGCCGACGCATCCGTAGACTTCCACTAGTTTACTAGCTAATGGTATGTCTGAGAAAGAGTGAAGCTTAGGCGTCATGCCAGTAAAAACAATACCACCGCTGCTGAAGCTTCAAGACTGATGCTCTATGCCCCACTCAGAACTCAAGAAATGAAAAGAACTGATGCACAGCTTAAACATTCACACAAATGTCCAGTGAGGTAGCTTATTATTATCATTGTTGTTGTTAAGATGCCACTTTGCTTACAGTACTTTTTGATTTCTTAACAGGTATCTTGAGAGACAAGCATTTGTGAGCAGAACGAGTGAACGCGAATATCAATATCGTCAGGAGCTGAAAAAACCTGCATCGAATCGAAGGCTTTAAATCTAGTCCATTTGTACAACTGGTTTTATCGGGTCAATTTGTGTACGATATCCACCTAATTCAGTTAGTTTTGAATGACCAAAGATGTGATTGTCAATACTGGCGCGCTAACTCGTACACTTATTTGTTGTTTTTAGTGTGAAGTAAGGTCCGGTGACTCAAAAGTAAATAAATAAAAGTCGCTTCGTGACTACTTTATACCTATGTATTCTATTTCTTATTTTACAATTTTTCTTCTATTCAGGTCTTTCAAAGGTATAGTGGTTATCTCTGTCTTCGGCAAGCGGGAATTGTTTGGCTTTCTGTAACACAAAAACAATTGAAAATAAGAGTTTAACAACTCCAAAATATCATCTGACAATTTTAATACGAAAAAAGCACTAGTTATCATTATGCGATCTACATGCAACCAGTGTTGACTATTTGGATATAGTGTCAGTATCATACGAACTGCTAAAACCTGCTGACAATACCAACGACCTGGTTACTGAGTTTGATAAGTAGTGCTAATGATCGTGTGCATAGTACAATCATTGACAGTATTTCTACTGGTTTAGGTATCATACTTTAAAGGTAACAAGTATAGGGCTCCAGGGGGGATAGCTTAGTTCTAAGGCAGTACTTCATGGGTTGTTGCCACTTCTAGGAAGTTTGAGCTTTTGAAAAACTTGTCCTTGTTTCATCCAACATTAATCGACAAGTAATAGAACAAACGGATTTAAGTTTAAGCAGCATCAAGCAGTAGAGTTTCACGATTTTATTCAGCGCTTTCGGAATTTATGCCGTCTCACAGATAGAATTATTGTTAGAAATCTGTAATTTCCTTCCGGAGATCGTTCAATGGTGAAGATGTGACGGGAAACTTTTGGTTTTTAAGTGATTTCCGTGAGTCCCCACCGACAACGACTACAATGGCATGTTAGCTCAAAACACTGCAAATTAACAAGAAATACTGTCTGTAGGAACTGTGTGCGACATTCGCCTCGGGTTAGGAGGTTAAATACAACTAGTCAGCCTCCAAATACATGGTTGTAAAATGGGTGGTCTTAAAGTTCTATGTTGCGTATCGTCTTTATGTTCTGACAATGGATCTATGAAAACAAAACTCGTGTAACTCTTTAACGCTATTTCGCGAGCTTCTCTCACGCAACAATTAACTGTAATTTCAACAAAAAAGGAGTTAGTATTATCAGAAACCAAAGCACTCAGAGCAAAAGGAAAAGAAAAGAGAAATTATTCCGGTAAACATCATCGGTAGAAAGAATCTATAGAAGATTATATACTTTCCCGAAGCACCTGTGAGATCTGAATACGCGTTAATTTGCGAAACTATGTGCGTTTAATTGATCAGACTAGGAAACAAGTAGTTGCAGTTACTAGCTTAACTTACAGATATAAATGTCAAGTTTATACCTATGTGCTTAGTTAAGCCTTCGTCTGAGCACGTTAGTGAGGAAAATTAACATATTCAATGCATTGTAAAAATTGCTGACTACAGCAACCCATAATATTCTCTGTTGCATCGATTCGTTAACATGTGCATAACTGAATAATAGAACAAGTTTGACTATGAACAGAACTAAACATTTAGTTAAGCCTTTACCTCCCACCCTTAGCTCACTCTGAAGACAGATTTGAAGTCTTCCTGCCTAAACTAAGCCCCGAAAGACAAATGCTTGCTTTTTGTGCTAATATACGTTAAAAGACTAGTACGTAATCAGTGTTGTAGTAAGTACTGCAAATAGGTATTAAGGCTTTTTGCCCTCATATCCAGCGAAACTCCAGGCATATAACTGAGATGCATTTGTGCAATATCGTTTCTGCTTTACGTAGTGTTGGAAGCACTTTGTGTGGTCTGTATCACATAGTGAAACGTTAAGTTCCTTGCAAAATATTTGTAGAACACTAACTCATTTAATGCTTACCAGTGGTGAGAAGTAGCCGAACATTTGGCCAATGTAAAGCAGGAATGTGAGAACAAATAACGGTGAAAATGTCTTGAAGAGCACCCACGGTCTAAAATTCATAGGTTTTGCAGATAAGATAATGCACAGCTTACATTGAATGTCCTCCGAGTCTTTCTTTCAACAATACAGGATCGTATCCAGTCGAAGAATACATGTGTGCTTTAAATAGAACAGGGTCGTTGTAATTCCGTCTGCTACGTGGATAGTCGTAGGGTTCCCAAGGATCAAGGTTGTTTACGTTATACGGTTCAACTTTAAAGTAATCTCCGGGTGCTAATCCATCGTCTTCGAATGGTTTGTAATCTGATGGTAGGAGGTTATACCGTTTCGCTGCTGCCTCACGCTCAGCCTTAGTGCAGGGAAATGGTTTTGGTTTCCATTCGATATGATAATCTGAAAAGTTATTGCGAAATAACATTACATTGTAGGAAATTTTTAGGCAGTACTTAAGCCTCCATACAATATGTGCGGCTCATTACCCAATTCACAAACCTGCTTGCAATCACCGTCGGTTTACTAAAGATAAAGACATACATCAGGAATTCCCGTTCTAACTAAGTGATATAATCAGTGTGTAAACGTCCAGTTAACAGACAGATGTTTAGCAATAGTATGGGATGTAAGGTGATTCCAATCACCTAGACGTCCATACCGATGAAGTGTTCTATCCCCAAGTGAATTTAGTTCTCCGTGGATAGCTTGGAATCAGACCTACAGGCACTGTAGTATTAAACTGGAACCATAAAAAGTTCAGCAAACAACCACTTGCAACTGAATTATCCCAGCTAGAACACAGATACCCAGGACGAATCCTTTTATGAACTGGACTATGAGCCACATTTAGATTGTGAGGGATTATGATGATGTTACCCAGTAGCCCGGACTAAAGTAGGTAGAGCTAGACCTAGTGGTAGGAAATGCTTATATTAGCAAGACCTCAACAAATGGCTTGGAATTGCTGTGCGCATCAAGCACTGAACCATTAAATCATTCGTTTTTCAATATATTACTTGCAATCTAAAGTTTGCTAATATCGCAGTGTAACATTACATCACAATGCTATAAGCCATATACGCAAGTGAAAGATTGACTTGTGCAACCTAAAATTCTGAATGTGACACAAAGACTGAGTTATATATCTCTGTTGGTAGTGTGCTTCTTGGTACACATGTTATTTATGATAGAATACATAGGAGTAAATAAAACTAAATAAGTTCCACACGATCCGATCAAGCTAAAAAACAACCTGTGGTGCACTGCCACATATTAAAACAATAAGCATCAGTTTATGACCGCTTATTCTTAAAACTACATCACTTCAGATAGTGGAAATAACGTCTGAATACTACTGATAAACCGCCAAACACGTCAGTGGTTAACGAAAGTGACGCTATACACACCTTCATATATATATATATATATATATCAACCTAATGTTAGTAAAAGCAAATGGTTAGCACATTGTGGACGTTAATAATACGGCCCTAGATGCTTGGAGAAGAATTCTTCTCGTGTATTAATACACGACAACTTCATTATTAAATGCATGTCTATGCACAGCATTTATCGACAGTTAGGGATAGTAATTAGGGATTCAAACTTTATAAATGCTGCTCGATTTGAATTCGAGGTTCAGCAGAATGTCACAAAAACATTAGGACTCATTGGAAATTCATACAGTACCCAAGCTAGTGGCAATCTTTTAGCCAGGACGAAAATGTCAACGACAGCTTTGGTATGCACCAAAATGCACAGATATGGGAAGGATATCAAGATCTTACCTTCGAAATCCTTACACAAAAAGTCCAGAAAACACATGGCGGGAGTGGGCTTCTTATCAATTTTGTTTAAAGTCCCAACTTTAACAGCTGTTTTTTTTTCATTTCGGCTCTATCTAGTCTTACCATTGATGAGAAATGGGACTTCAGCCGATAGACGTCTAGTGGTTCACTGCAGTAAAAACCGCATGTCCCTCCACCGTTGCTATTATCAACAGAATAACTTCGGACAGTCACCTACTTTTGGAATGCAAATTTGCATTGATGGTTAACTATCAACAACTACTTCATAAAGATTCACAGACAAAATAAAATAAGATCTAAGCTAACCAAATCTAAGCCCACACTAGTTTGAGCTTTTTTTAATTAGTATCATCAGAAAGCTGTAGTTATGCTATTCGGGGGTGAAAACAAATACACTGTGGTCTTATTTTAAGCAAACTGAGTGACTAGAATACAAGTTCACCACTCTAACAAGATCTCGGTGACTTAGTTTTTATCAAAAGCAACCTACAAGCCATTTCGCGACAGACGGGTGCGATTATCTTCGCACATTTCTTTGCTAATAAAAGCCGATCCATAAATGTAAAGAAACAATTTGAACTGTGCGCTCTGTGACCGATATTCAGATTCATTTTTGTAGGAGAGGATACTGGCAGTTCGTTCTAAACTTTTCTAATACTCCTTTGCGCTTTCTTAATTTCTTCTTGTACCAGTCGGTCAAGAGCACTGACATAATATCTTCTGACAGTGGTTGGAGAACCAGACTTTCACAGACATAGTCCCGCCTTGACTTCTGAGCTCTCGTGCCATGTCCTCCAAAATTTTCCTACCTGCTTTTAAGGAAAAGAGATCAAGTTTACAGTTATTTCTTATAATTCTGAAAAATTTAATTAGATCACCTTCATGCATATGGTATGATAAATAGAAGAAATTCAAACTGTTAGGTCTTCCCTCCCGTGATAAATTCGTCATACCAGTAATCATAGTTGTGACTTTCCTTTGAACCCTTTCTAGAATGAACAATTCTTCCTTAAGACAAGAACTGGATGCCTGGATGCCGTTTTTTAGTTTAACCTGATCAGAGATATTTACGAAGAGGTAAACATTCCACTGATTATCCCAGTAGACGCTTTAGGTATCGCTTATGAAGATTTTAAAATTCCATCAGGCACTGCACGACAGTGTAGCACAGATTCGGTTCAGCACTTACTACGGTTATGAACTAACCAGGGTGTTATTTCCTATATGCTGTATGGGCCAAGACTTACTTGTTCAATACACATGGTTGCGCGTGTCACTGCGTTGATTGGGGGCACCTATTCTCTGAATCATTCTTGGGTTTGCAGCGTGAGCATGTTATAATCAAGCCTAAATTCATTTCAAATTTTCTAGATAGCTGCGGAGAAGACAACAGAATGTTCATTGAGCTAAGGTGCTTCCTTAATATAAAAGATGAAAATAAAGGGCTGAGTAAAATACCTTGCGACACTCAACTACGTACTGCTCTCCAGGAGAAGGGTTTGAACTTTCGTCTAGCTTCTTCGTCTCCTACTTATGAGAACTTCCTCAATCTACTTTGGAAAGACACCCTTGATCACAAGACTTTCTGACTTCATGAGCAGTCTTGTATTAGACGATTTATTGAAGGCTTTACTGATGCCTATAAAGATTATGTCGATAGGTTTCTTATTGTCTCTGGATGTGGATCGGCCTCGCTTTGCCCTCAAAACGTCTGTCATCCACGACAGAGAAGCTGTGCTGTGCTTTGGAAAAGAATATTTTGTTTTCGGGATGTGGCATTATATCTTTCGTGATAATTCCTTTCAGTATCTTGATAAATTGCTGGTAAAACTGACACTAGCCTAGAGAACTGTGTCTGAACCTTCTATAGTGGGTAAAGATTATTACTGCATCTTTCTAATCACACAGTGACACTCCATTTAAGGGAGATAGCTTAAAAACTGTAGTAAGTGAGCTGGCAGCTCACTGGAGATCCTTGTTTTGAGATCATTGGGTCCCCTTGATTCCCCAGCGTCTAGGTTTTCAACAGATTGGAATAAGGCGTACTGGTCTATGTTGACGATACCTGTCTCGCATCGCAGTGACGCGTAGTAAGTTGATGCACTTGTGGGAAAATTTCAGTGTGAAGACTTGCAGGGAGTCATCTGCCAATTCTTCTGATTTTTACTGATTCCCTTTAATAATGCCACTATCAGCAATCAAATTTATAGTTTCGCCATGTAGTCTTATCCATTGTGTCTATGTGCGAACGCATTTTCCTGGGTTATGCTGGTTGTGTTTCTGTTTCCACCCGTGATCAACACATTCTTACAAGTTTCATTTCAGGCTATGGCATACGGCCTTCTAGCCACCGAAAAGCTTACACTTAAGTAGTTCATAAATTTTTCTGGTTTATTCATGGGGGCAGAAGCTTTAGCTATCCTTTGGGATGGACCATAAGATGAAGGTTTGAAGTAGTACGTTAACTTTAATCGGTTCGGGGAGGCTTTCATGTGACATTTTGGCTTTCTCAGCCGGCCCTGTGGTGAGGTCACTACAATGTTAGGACTTACGTTGGCTTTCCAGATATCTGCTCAGATAAAGATTTCTGTCCAGCATGGTGAGGAGTTACGCAATTGAAAGGGAGCAGGGTATAGCTGGTCTATCCTAGGGGTCGAAGAAGTCACATAAGGCTAACACGTAGCCTATGTGAAGGAACCAGGCCGGAGGCTGAGGAGAAGAGCCGGCAAATATTGCGCGTTCATTTGTTGGCATGTTGAATAAAAGCTGTGGACACTGGGGATTCTGTCAGCCTGCGGTTAAAGTGATTGTATGACGACACCAATATAAGACTTACCCAGTCACCTGATGGGGCGTAGAAATTACCGGCTATAGGGCTCCCGTAGGGTCTCTACAATGCAGTAGGCTGAGGCCACTCAAAGCGAGTGGTAAAAGAATTCTGTAAGATCAGATGGATAACTAAATGAGAACCGCATCTGCCTTATGACTTGTGGTCTTTCTTTATCTACTGAATGATGAATGACCCTGAGTCTGTTTTGGAAAGGCTCCCCCACTTCGTTTGTGCACTGCCGTGCCTTTAAGAATAGATATCCAGAACCTAAACCGGTTTCCTGCAACAATACAAGCTCTCACTTGAACATTTGAGTAATTTTTTTGTGGAAAATTCGGTCTCTAAACTCCAACAATCAAATATCTCCATAAGAAGGTTGTCTACACTTAGATGGTGAATGCTTGATATAAGTCAGCGTGGACGCAGTCACTAGACTGCTCAAAGAGGACAATGCACTCCTGCGTCTGACTCCCACACGCTCTTTTTCACCCTACATAGATATTCTAAGTTCATTAATCGTGTGAGTTACAACAAACTACAGTTATAAATGTTAATGTTATTGGAAGGACATGGTAAACATTTATGCACAGGACATTAATATTAATTCGCACATAATATAAAAGTTAGCATAACAGCACTAGTCAGTTAGTCTGCCAAAATAATCATAGTTACTGCACAGAATATATATATAAATTTATAAATCACTCCTTGGGACTCCACTCGCTTCCTTCTGTGCTGCTGTTGTTTGTCTTATTTTTCTCCCACCATTTTAGCTTCTGTGTGACTTCCTGAATGATAATACAATGAAAAATGATCTGCAAACATTGCTGCTCCCATATCCTACAACTGCCTCGTGAATTACTCGTGACGCATCCTGGACGACAGTTGTGGAATATTACTTTTATAACAATAAAAAATCCCAATAACTATCTGTTCGGCGCCAATAAATCTGATTATTTGAGAAATAAAGAAAACATGCTGATGGTTGCACTGAATGGAGTGATAATAATTTACAGCTTTTACGTGCTCCAATTGTCATTTTATATGGATTAATTGTCCATTATCTTGGTTCCTGTCCTCACATGGACTGAAAACTGCCTACTGCTGCAACAATACTTCTTTGTATGTTTTATCGGACACTCACTGCCGTGGTGAATCACTGGCAGAGACATGAGTCAAGATCAAAAATTGTTCGGTTTTTTGACAACAAGCCTTCATAAAGTCACTAGCGTGCATTTGAGCTTAATGATAACATCCCACCTAAAGTGTTTGTGCAAGGTAATAGGACAACACTGATGTGTTGAACAAAATGGTTGGAGTATTACATTTACGTACGTATGAGAGATAGAATACAGTACTCATCTGAGGATAACAACCGTTGGCGGGAGTTAACATCATGCGATAATCAAGAGAGACAAGGTCAGGTGATACATACTGGTGGACCACCATAAATTCCGTCAGGCACGATTAACAAAAAACGATAGTAGCAATAACATGTATTCCCATTTTCCATACATAGGGGACGCAAATTTACAAACATCATCAATATTATAAATAATATATTCATGAAGTAAGCATATTTACAATTATTCGCTCGCACAGGATATATATAAATATGTACAAGGAAAGGTAAGCCCAGTAAGCTATTTACATGATATAATCCTCGGCATCATTATTGTTTTGATTTAGCGAAAATACGCGTAACAACTGAAGTCTCACCACATGTGGTAGTGTAACAAAATAACAACTGTTACAGGTAGAGTAGTTAACACTGTTTTCCGTTTCTCCTTTCAGGATAACACCGAGGAGTCCATTCTGAGGAGCAAGACGCACAACTTCTATCAGGACTCAATATAAGTGATCACAGATAGACTGTTTGTTTTTGAGAGGTTGGCGCTGGCATTCTGATTTCTGCCACTGTACCAAAAAGACGCTCTTACGGAGCTCGCATTCTACGTGGCTGTTGCTCAGTCCGTTAAAAAAGTGGTATCAGTAGTGCCCAATTGTTCAAAAAAGATGGATCTTCCATCAGATGGGGAACCCCTACGCTTTTTCCAGAGGAATGTGTACCTACTGTTCCCATTGTGCTTGCTGTTCGCTTACCTCCAATCTTCGAACTCAGCTCAGACTACCGAGCGTGGAAGAATGGCATGCAGGCGTCTCTCAGTCTAGCTCTGCTGGGTCATCATTCTATACACATCTCCGATTCCCCCTCAGTAGAAGCCTACTCACTAGCCGACGCTGTTGGTGTTTGTAGCACGCACCCTGCTAGCGAAAACTGGGGCATACTGGACGCTTGTTTTGGCTTGCATTTAGGCCCCAACCATGTGATGATGAAACATTTCATTACCTGGAGAGTGCTTTGGATTACTGTCAGGTTTCGCAGACCATGGTGCCTCGTGCTGACACCTATGAGGATGCAGCGCACGGTTCGTCAACAGCTTACTTCCTGGTGATCTGCATACACCTCCTGCAGCTGCCCCCAACCAGCACGCTAGACGCTGAGCAGACGATTCCTCGGCTCATGGTCTCAGAACAAGATTACATAGCCATGTACAGAAAACATTACTGTGTAGTCTCCGCAAAACCTATGGTAGCTTCCGTTGGCTAACGTCGCCCTAAAGCTCCTGTGGGTAGCCGGCAAAAATGTGAAGATAGCAACTCCTCCAATTGTTGCTGCTGTAGAAGGTTTAGTACGAAGGAGTACAAGAGTGGTAACAACCAGTAGGTTCAACAGAGTGA